CTGAAAATTTGGACAAGGGGTTTAATTTCTGATCCTGAATTGAAGTTTGATATGACCTGCTTTTAATATTTTTGACGTAATTTGACCTTCATTCTTGTGTTTCTTGACATACAGACGTGAAATTTAGACTAGGGGTGTATTGTTGATGCTGTTGATGCTGAATTGATTTTTGATATCAACTGGCCTATTTTTCACATTTTTTACAATGCTTGACCTATTGTCTTTTTGTTAGGTACTGTTATGTTACCATACAGAATGTTTAAAAAATTTGTTGTCCCAAACTTTAAATTTCAAACATCTACACCTTATATGTTTTGCATGTGACATTTTGTGTTTTCATTCAAAAAAGTTATAGTGAAAATTAATCCTGCTCTAGTGTTCATTTATTCTGCATTTATTCTACATAGTCTCATAGGAACATAATTGCAACATACATATTTTTAACAAAGCCTTTCCAAAATATAGGGCAAAATATTTCAATTTATATAGTGAATAATGAAATAATGGGTTAGATGAGTGATCAAGGTCATCTTAGTGGCCCTTTTGTTTATTATGAAGAAAAAAACTTAAACAATCAGTGCTGTGAAAGTATATTACTACAGGGGCAAGTTCAAATTGAGCTGGGCCTTTCAGCAAGTTCTTTTGAAAAATAATTTCCAATACTGAAAAGCAGTTGTTTTTGGTGAGCGACTCAGGGCCATTATGGCACTTTTGTTTAATTTGTCTTACTTTAGCCAATAAATACCTACAAAAATGCACTTGACCATAATTCTAGCCTAACAAAAAACTCCTCAAAGCGGATGTGGTGCATTAATGGGATCATACCTTAAGTCAAAACAAGCATAATGAAAAGGAATATTTATTATTCATATAAAATAAAGTTTTCAAGTCATTTAATTCCAATTGCAAAATACGTAGTCTTTTTTATAAATTGTTGAAAGTCTGTAATGAAGGCTTTGGGACATTGTAATATGTTTATCTATCAATATATGTATATTGGCATGCACGTCAAAGTTATTGAAAACGCAACCCGGAATAAAGGACTCGCGGAACGTGTCCCAAAATACTAATACTTACATATCTACATTACCAAAGATACATAAGACATAAGAAATGAATTTGAAAATGCAACGTAGAAAATCTTGTAAGAGTTGATTTCAATCATTACTACCCAACAGCTAAATAAAGACCTTTACTGACGAACCAATCTTGTTAAACAATGTTTAACAATGGCAATAAGGTCAAGTAGTACTCAAATATACGATCTAACGTTGAATACTTATAATCAATCAAGCAATCATCCAAAATTCCTCTATGTATTATTTACATTTCGTTAATTCAATTGAATAATGCTTGAAGTAACAAACGACATCTTTTAATGTTATATTTCAAACATATAAATAATTTTATAATTCTGTATAATATTTCATTAAATCATTTTTTAATGTCTGTAGTGGGAAAACGACATCATTTAATATTCTATTTCAAACACATAAATACTTTCCAAATTTGTTTCATAGAAGATGTTACAAAAACATTTAATGTCTGTGTTTAAACGAAATCACTGCAACTTGTTGTTCAAGCATATGCAATTCAATGTGTACATTGTCTTGTGATAACAATCACCACTGCTTCCGGTTCTTGTACCTTTCTTTGGAGCTTATATGTTTTACCATTTTTGTAATTACCCTTACTTAAGAAGACTGTTTATATACTGAAGAAAACTAGTACACTTTTCGAGGGTAGCTTTTATATTCGAACATGTTTTTTTTCGTTTGCCCGGGTTAACTCTCTTGAAATAATCAAGATCTATATAAGCTATATGCCATTTAAAAATACAGAAGTATATAACACAAAAATGTATGTATCTTTAGATCTCTAGATTACTAGTAAGTCATAGCATTTTTCTTGTTATGCGACGGAGAAATTTTAATTAAATTCCTCATCATAAATAAGCACATGCACGCGTTTTTCTTAGGATAAACTTTTTTCTAGTTATTTAGACGCGGATATTTCTAATATTAATAGTTTTTACACATCATTGTGAATTGTTCTATAATGGAAGGTATGATATACCGTAAGTAATTAGGTTGATAGCATTTAGTGTCAGACATAACAACAAATCACGAAATAATTATATATGGATGTTGTAGGTGATATATATGATCCGATATTACACATATTTATATAAATGTAGTGTATAATAAAATGTTCTAGAACAAAACACGATTATTCTTTATATAAATGTTAATACTAAAACACTTAAAACTCAATCAACATTTTTTTCCAAAACAAGCGTTATGAGATTATTCAAAATGATACATTTCGATTATTTTTATCATTATTTGAAATATTTAAAATATGCCCATCGTAGACTCCTTAAGCAGTTCAATATTTTTGCTGGACCAGATATTCATTTAAAATCCTGATCAAAAGTGATTATAAATAACTAAGAGCCAAATTCAATAACACGGATCTTACAACAGAGATGACATCTATCTTAAATCGGTTCCTTTCATAAATACACAACCATTCAAATTAAAATTTGATTGACCAATTCTAAGATGTGATTTTATACAAAAGGACAGAATGACTAATTGATAGGCGGAAGGGTAATGGAAGTTCAAGGCGTATTTAATTGTTCACAGAGATATGTAATACGTGAGATTTCATTTAATAAAAAAATGATGTACTGAAATCTGACAAACATATCGAAACTGTATAGAGTCTTTATGCCAAGATGGATCTGTTTTTAAATGATTTCTATATTGTTAGTGTTTCGTTACAAGATCAATGGTACCATATCTTCAATCTTTGATCAATACGGATAAAGTTTAAAGAAATAACTAATTAATTAATGCATTGAGGTTAAAACCATAAAATTAATATCAGATAGTCTAAACCTTTTTGTTGTTTGTTATTATCAAAAATAAACCTTTTTGTTGCTTGTTTTTATCAAAAATAAACCTTTTTGTTGCTTGTTATTATCAAAAATAAACCTTTTTGTTGCTTGTTATTATCAAAAATAAACCTTTTTGTTGCTTGTTATTATCAAAAATAAACCTTTTTGTTCCTTGTTATTATCAAAAATAAACCTTTTTGTTTTTTGTTATTATCAAAAATAAACCTTTTTGTTGCTTGTAATTATCAAAAATAAACCTTTTTGTTGTATGTTATTATCAAAAATAAACCTTTTTGTTGCTTGTCATTATCAAACATAGACCTTTTTGTTGCTTGTTATTATTAAAAATAAACCTTTTTGTTGCTTGTTATTATTAAAAAGAGTAATAAGGACCCTCACCACAAATAACCGCACTTTAGATTAAACGAAGAAAATAATATGTCAAAATTAAGCATGACATGATTTATCTTACTATGTTTATTTTCAATGACAAAACAGTTTACGCTATAACTCATTTCCTCTCAAACCTATAAACTAAGATAAAATCTACATAAATTTATTATATATTTACTGATTATTATGATAACAATACTCAGTAGATTTTAATGGTAACCATTTGCAAATAAGTAATTTCAAACGACCACTTCGGAGTGTGGTGTTAACAGAAGTGAATGTTGTTAGTTCGTAACTTCCGGGTCAACGATTTAAGAGTTAAAATAAAACTGTATTCACGGATATTTGGTCACTATGATTAAGAAATAATATCTGTCTCAACGGTGTGTATAAGCTAGTAAACTCCATTTCGGATTTTTGATGTGTAGGAATTGACAACGAAGTCCGTATGCATGAGCTGTCGAAACGACGTCATAACGCTGATAATAAATTTGGACAGATTTTTCTTATTTAAATCAACTGATATGGATAAACCTTTGTATATGAGATATTATTTGAGCATTATATGAAAACATATAATAAGAACGGAAAATATCAATTAAAATGCGTTAAACTAATCTATCGGCGGTGGGAGGATAGTCTCTAACCAGTGTTCTTTGGCAGGGAATTTTCAATGATAATGACGTCATGTGAAAGGTCATATAGACTGACAGAGAATCATTCCGAATATTCCAAAACCTTGATCGATTTGAGCGTTTTTTTAAATTTGACGGAATCAGACATGTACAATAGAAAAGATATTAACAGAAGCAGTAGTTTTGTGTATTGTTTACGTTCTGTTGCAACTATTCAGATATTTAATCTACTTACAATATTAATTGTGTCACTTTGGCAAATTTAAGGACCTTTAATATTGTTTCCCTTACTTTCTCTGTATCCGAATATATAAGTAATGAAATCCGCTAAGTGTCATATGAAGAGGCATGCCTATATCGTCGATATAGGCATGCCTCTTCATATGACACTTAATGCGGATTTCATTACTTAAACTGTTAATATCCGTTGTGTCCCTTTTATTATTTCATTAACTGTTACACTGCATTTCAATATAATGTTAGAATTTTATGTCTTAACAGTTGTACAATATGATATCATTGATATGTACAGGTATATAGATTATTGACACATTTTGCGTCTATACGAGGGTTGTTCGGAAAGTTTTGAGACTGGGTCAATATTTAGCGTTGGAAAAGATAAAATCAAACAAGAGTTTACTATGTATTACTTTAATACCTCATCTATTATAGTGTAAAATTTCATAACAATAGCTTCATGTATACAAAAGCTACAAAGCGTTAGGCACAGACACTACCGGTGACCCTGCGCACGCAACGACGTTATCCGACGTTGCCGTTATTTCCAGAGTTTAACGTCACCGTAGAAAAGTCAACTGCTACTCCTTTTCAGAGTATCTTCCTTTACAACGTACACATTTTCATGCCTCGAAACCCACTTGGCGAATACATTTCTATACCAGTCAGATTTAAATGTTGCAATAATGCTCATAACTCTAGAACGCAGTTCAACTAGGTCCTCAAACCGGATTCCTCGTAGTTCGGATTTGATGGCCGGAAAAACGGAAAAGTCCATTGGGGCCAGGTCGGGTGAGTAGGGTGGGTGAGCGATGCGGTTAAACCCGAGAACATCAAGTTCCAGAGAAGTGGCAGATGCTGTATGCGCAGGCGCATTGTCTTGATGTAGGTAGATGTTCTCCAGATTCGCAAAGCATTTCCGGCCGCTTCTTTCGGATAGCGTTAATCAGTTTCCGTCTGATTACCTTAAACAGAAATATCGGAGCTCGTACTTAATACAGATACAGGTGAATTAATTTCAAATAATTATTTTAATAATTAAGTAAGTAATCAAATTTAATTATCTATATTATTTATATATTTATTTTTAATTATTTTCATGTTAAATAAAGTTAACATAATTACTCACCCTGGAGTAATAGTCAGCGTTCACCGTCTCTCCCTTCGGTACAGCATGTGTTAACAGCATCTCCTTCCGGTCCATGAATAGAATAAACATACGTTTCCCAACGGATTTTGTTACACGTGCTTTCTTCGGGGGTGGAGACGACGTGTGCTTCCAAACTGAAGACTGCGACTTTGTTTCTGGGTCGTAGTAGTAAAACCAGGACTCGTCGGTGGTAATAATTCTGTCTAAGAACGCGTCGCCTTCTCTCTGGTATGAACGTAGAAACTGTCGAAATGCTTTTACTCGGTTTTCTTCCTGATCAGCCGTCAATAATCTCGGTACCCAACGGGCCGAAACCCGAGACAATGCAAGTGTCTCAGTTAACATTTTATGAGCAGTTGCCGTACCTACATCGCAAACTTCTGCAACTTCTCTTACTATTATGCGACGGTCGCACTGAAGCGCGTTTTTTGCAAGTGTCAGTTTATTGTCGATGACGGATGGGCGACCGCTCCTTTCCTTGTCTTTTGTTGACTTTCTGCCATCCCGAAACTCTTTATGCCATCTAAATACCAATGGTCGACTAACAGTACGTCCGTTGTTTGCCTGTTCTAGAAGTTGCTTAGTTTCTGTTGGCGTTTTTCCAAGATTAACGCAAAACTTAATAAAAACACGCTGTTCCTCTTTTGACGGTGTTTCCATAGTCGTTGTCTTGTCGCGCACGTATTGCTATAATGATCTGCGGTAACGGCTTAAACAACTAGCGGAAATGACGTCCTTAAGTTGGAAGTGACGTCATAAAATTTTCGTGACGTTTGGCGCAATTTTAGGGGCTCTTTTTATTCAGTAAGAAAACTTTTAACAAGAAAATAGTCCGTGCGCCAGGATGCGTAGACAGGTGTTGCTATGGAAACGATTATATGCCGTATAGTAACGTTACAACGTTTTAAAGACATAACTCGGATAAATAACATATTAAGCTATAATTTGTATTAAATAATATTCGCAGCTGTAATTAGAAACAGAGAAAATCATATTGTCTCAAAACTTTCCGAACAACCCTCGTATCATGCTTAAATGTTTGCTTAAGTGGCATAAAATTAAATTCAAGCTTTGTTTACCCACTAGGACAAATCCTGAACATTTTTATATATCATTACGGTCAACGTCTTCTTCTAGTTAACGTCATGTTATATTTTAAAAGACAAATCTGATATAGATTTTATTGTAACATAATATAAATATATCGACGTTTAGTCTTCTTCAGAAAAAAATGACGTTCATTTTATAATATTAACATAATAGCAGACAAATCAAGAATGGTAAATACTGATCTAGTTAGGTTTGTTGTGTCTTATTACTTATTCGTCTTTTGTATCCGGAAGGTAAAGTTTGCTATCGATTTCAATGAATTGTTGATTCTTTAATGGATATTTTTTCTTCTAATTACCGTTCTTTGAATGGTTTCCAGTTGGGTTTCTTTCTTTGTATATATACATGTCAGATCCCTAACAATACCTGACTCTTTAAAATTTGAACTGTATTATAGGTGGCGTTTAAAATTACAAATATTGTATATACATATCAACAGAGGCATTAGCATGTATCTTTATGTTAAAATACTAAAATGCCAAGGTATGATGTTTTCTGATTTATTAACTGTTCAAAAATAACTCCATTTTAAGCTTAAACATATAAATTGGTTCAAGTTGGGTTTCAGGTTTTTATTCATGTGTTATAAAATGAAAATTAACAAAAGCCATGTCAACATGCCCATCCCTCGCCGAATGTGTTTGCTCATTTGAAGAATGTATATGTAGTAGAGCAGAATAATTCAATTTTAAGAGGTCTTTTGGTTATTAAAACTGATGGCTGAAGTGATTACAGATTTGAAACCTATGTGAATACTGATAGCTGAAAATAACAAAGGACAATAACTGAAAAATGCAGGGTATGTTATTATTCTTGTGTGCTGCACTCCACCTAAATGAGATATATCCACCTATGAAATTTCAAGTTGATATCGCAAAGGCTTTTAAAGTTATGCTCTGGACAAAAATTAAGTATGAAAAATAACAAAGGGCAAAAATTGAAAAAATATGCAGGGTAGAGATATCACTTTTGTGTGCTGCATTCTTCAACAATGAGACCTATCCACCTATGAAGTTTCATGTTGATATCTCAAAGGCTTTTTAGTAATGCTCTGGATAAAAAAATAAGCATGAAAAATAACAAAGGGCAATAACTGAAAAAAATATGCAGGGAGGAGTTATTATTCTTGTGTGCTGCACTCTTCTTCAATCAGATCTATCCACCTATGAAGTTTCATGATAATATCTCAAAGGCTTTTTAGTAATGCTCTGGACAAAAATTAAGGATGAAAAATAACAAAGGGCAATAACTGAAAAAAAATCAGGGTAAAGTTATCATCATTATTGTGTGCTGCACTCCTCCTGAGTGAGATCCTCCTCAATCTATGAAGTTTCGTGTTGATATCTCATAGGCTTTTTTAGTAATGCTCTGGACAAAAATTAAGCATGAAAAATAACTAAGGGTAATAACTTAAAAATAACGAAGGGTAGAATTATAAGTCTTGTGCACTGCATGAGATTTATCAACCTATGAAGTTTTATATTGATATCTCAAAGGCTTTTAGTTATGCTCTGGATAAAAATTGAATTTGAAAAATAGCAAAGAGCAATAAATCAAAAATTATGCAGGGTAGAGTTATCATTCTTGTACACTGCACTCCTCCTCAATATGATCTATCCACTTATGAAGTTTTAAGTTGATACCTGAGATAAACCCCTGACAAAAATTATGAAAAATAACAAAGGGCAAAAAACTAACTTAAATATTATAAATGAAAGAGTTATCATTCTTGCGCACAGCATTTTCCTCAAAAAGATCTATCCACCTATAAAGTTTCATGTTGACATCTCAAAGGTTTTATGAGTTATGCTCCACTCAGGTGAAAAAATAACTCAAAAATCATAAAAGGTAGAGTTATCATTCTTGTGCACTGCACACTTCCTGTGTGAGATCTATCTCAAATACTTTTTGAGATATGCTCCGGACAAAAATGTCGGACGGAAGGATGGACGAAGGTCGGAATGACGGAGACTATTTTTATATCCCCCGCCGCCTTTGTACGAGGGATAATAATAATTTAGGGAAAAAGAGGCACTGTCAAAACATGTTGTTGTGGGTTATAGTTCAGGCAGCAGTGTGCTTCATATTCTATTTTATTCATTCATTCATTCATTCATTCATTCATTCATTAATTCGTTCGTTCGTTCGTTCGTTCGTTTGTTCTTCCGTTCGTTCTTTCATTAGTTCTTTCGTTCGTTCTTTTGTTCTTCCATTTCCTTATTGATTGAGTGATTGATTGATTGAATGATTTGTGTTCCATTATTCTATCTCTCGACAGTTAGCAAATCACCTTTTATTTATTGGGTCTAATTCATATTGCATTTAGTACTTTAAGATTATGCAGGAAGACCAGAATAAGTACATCACATTGTTTGTTGGTTTTTTTGTTTCATTTTACGCCTTTTTCCAACAGTATTTCAGTCATACAGTAAACTTCACTTATAGCAAACACGGTTATAGCGAACTTCCGGTTATAAGGAACAATTTATTTTGGCCCGAATTTTGCCCTTCTTTATTTAATATAAAACTATACGGTTATAGCGAACATGGTTATAAGGAATTATCGCTTATAACGAACTCTTTTTAGTCCCAATTGGGTTAAAAGTACAGAAAATTACACTTTTATAACGAACTCCTAAATATCGGCTATCCGTAAATAGATACTGCATTTTCAACTTTCGTTTTCATTGACATGGATTAAAACTTGGCCGAATGTACCGTTACTTGTTGTCTCTACTTCAATACATCTATTAAAATGAATTTGAATAGCAATACATACTAGTTTTCTATTTAGAATATTTTTAGCATGAGTAATTGTCACCAAGATAAAACAGTCATTCCTTTTATTCTATTATTTCTTTTCTTTAATAGTTTTGCCCGGGTTGAATAATTATGATATCATTTATAATCGTTTTTTTCAACATAATCACGCATGCTTGCTAGCATAATCCTTTGAAAACTTTATCATTCATTAGTAAAAGTCACCCTTAAAATATAATAGAAGTGTTTAATTATATAAAAAGATGGAAAAATCAAAAATCTTGTTAATTCTTATTCATGGAAAGAAAACTAAAAACAATATATGATGTTTTATGAGAAACTGAGAAAGGGAATTAAATTAACACTTTAATAATAGCAAACTTAAGGATTTTCAAATTCCAAAAGTACTCTCTCGGGTATTGTGTCTAAAATGGAAATTAATGACTATTTTTTCTTAATCAAATGACTTTTCAAATGGCGGACGATGGTAAACAATCAGTTCGTTATATGTAAATCTGTTCGCTATAAAAACTTCTGATACAAGGAACTAATTCGCTTTATGCTTACAAGGAACTCCGGATATAAGGAACATATTTTGAATGTCCCGATGAGTTCGTTATAAGCGGAGTTTACTGTATAGGCTTCCCAACCATCGTTCCTGGAGAGTTACACAAGTACTAGACTACCTTCCTCCGTACATCATATTGAACATATAGATTATTTTGTATATATTCTGTAGCTAATACATGAAAGATAACTTACACCGTTATACTAACTTAAGGTTTTACGAGTTTTTTCCCCTACAATGCTCATAAGTGTGAATTAAATGTGTAATTTCACGTGATTTTATGTTTTAAATACTTGATTGTTGATGCATCGATAATGTTTATACTTTACAACTCATAATGACATGCTTTGTCTTAAAGGTGAATAAGACACATTGATATTCCGGAGAATATAATGTTATATTTATTTGTATAACTACTACCATCGGTGTTCAATTATTACGCGGATTAAGTGTCCTTTTCGTCTCAGTAGGCCGAATTAAACATAATATACAGTTCTATTAACAAACATATTTTGTAAATAATCAGCCAATATTGCTTTTCAGTCATGTAAGATATGTTAGCAACGGTAGCTATGAAAACCAAATATAACGATTATCGGCCCCTTTTGTTCATTTTTATAAATACAAGTCATGTAGTCGCTGTTAAACAATGATGTCGCATTTTAACGTTTCATGCAATTTTCAACTAATTATATCTCGAGAAGGACTAAGTGCGTGTTTTCACCGTTTTGGGTAACACTCGCACATGCGTTGAACGTGACGTTTTTACGGGGTTGGCCAGTTTAACTGGCATTTCCTTAGAAATACATAGAGGATATTCATGTTGTCTCTTTAAATGCAAGATTTATCTTCATTGAATGGTATGGAAATAAATATTTCATAAGTGGCGTAGCCAAGCGTGAAATACAATAATTTTCATACAACAAGATGAAAATAAACCCCGTATTTGTAGAAAACCTTACATTTTCTGTTTATGATATACATTTTCTCTTAATTTTATTTTCAATTTTTGACATTACAATTTGTAAGACTTACAATAAAATTTTGTGTATTGGCTTACTTCAGTGTAAAAACCGAAAATATGTTTTACTGCAATGAACATTAAATATATTTTAAAGTGAAAATACGAAAAATTAAAAATACGCATTTTATGTATTAAATATTCTTGTAACTATAACTTGTTGTCATATGGACAAGAGTAATAAATATTCCAAGAACTATC